TTTGAAAGGCTGGGATATGGTGGGAGAGGGAGAAGAGGGGGAGAGAGAAAAAGTCATCTTACATCTGCTGGTTTACTCCATATGTCAGCAACAGTCAGGGGTAGGCCAGGCAGAAGTCAAGAGCTATGAACTCAATTCAAGTCTCCAGATGGGTGATGGAGACCCAATTACCTGAGCTATCATCTGCTGACTCCCAGGGTATGCAAGAGGGCTAAGGAGCATCCAGCCTCAGGGCTGTATAAGGCCTGTGAAATCTTTTGTTCTGGCCCTGCTAAGACAACTTCAGACACTACTCAAAATTCAATAAATGTGTTGACAAGCTAACTTTTAAGTTGATAATTTTGTGTGGCTCACGGAAAGATGTTATAAATACCCAAATGACCCTTGGTGGAAAAAGTTTGCTTACCTCTCCCAGGAAGCTGGAATCGGAGCAGAGCCAGGACTCAAATCCAGGCATTCTGATGTGGGATGTGGGCATTTCAGGCCATGTCTGAATTTCTGTGGCAAACACACACTCCTATTGATTTCCTTTTTATACTTTCTTCTTAATTCAGAATTTTCTAGCTGCTGTAGTTAGTGTAGCCCCTATTTTAGAAGCAATTGAATTTAGATAAGGAAGGAGTGGGAAAGACAGAATAATAGAAAAGAAACTAAGGAACACTCTAAGATAGGAGGCAGGGATCTAGCTAGAGTAGGCTAGGAAGAAGCTAATACAAGGAAACCGTTGGAATGGCCTTTCTGTGTTTGATTGAACATGTACATGTGAATGTAGACAGAACATGCTGAAGTTGAAAATTTTATTTTCTAGTTTGGGCCATGTTATACAGATAATCTATTAAGAAAATTAAAGTGAAATGCATAATTCTAAAGCTGCAATAAAAGCTCCTCTTTTGCATGGCTTTAAATGACTGACTATACTGAATTGCTTTCTCTGATAAGATTGCATTTGTAGTTGATTGCATGTCAAATTAAAAAATCAACTGTATGAGGATGCATAAAAAGAATCCATTTTAAACTATGGTACATCATTCCAGTGAATTTCAAAGTTACAACGAAATGAATGGGACACTTTATAAGGTGTCAGAAACTCCATTTCTTTTTTCCTTAGAGGGTCTTAGAAGAGATTCTACATTTGTATATTTTGGAGGATGTCATTTTGTATCTCTTAAAACTGAACTAGTTAACCATCTTCCTTAACCCTCCCTGTTTTCTTGGTAGTCTTTGCAAATACACCCCAGTTTATTGAAATCACCTCCAGTTGATCTCTTTAATGTGTCGGCATTTAATGTTTTGGCATTATTTGAAGGTTTGCTTTTGTTTATCTAATCTAAAGAACTTCATTATATGATACAGCAAGAAGGGACTTCCAGGTGGGCAGGCTCTGTGTGTAGACTAGATCTTCCTTTAGGCTTCTACTCTTTCACTCCTCTCTTGCTCTCTGGTCACTCTATTTCTTTGACTCTTAAACTTAATGAATGACTTGATGAACTTTAGCTTTAAAAATCGACCTTTGTTTCCGTAACAAAATGCCCAGGTATTCTTCTTCAGGGCATGGTGTTTGCGCAGATGCCTTCTCTGGTCATTTGTTTCTCTCTTTATCTATAAGAGTACACCTACAATTTTAGTTTCTTAGCAGTTGTGCCACATGTCTCCACCACTTATGGTCTATAGACCCAGAAACCAACACAATGAGCGAGGACAGTACTAGACTGAATTACTTAGTTACAGAGCAGTGACTTATATCTCCCAATCTTTTAGTAGTTTCAACTTCATTATCATAACACACATTTCAGTCATTTCAGCTTTCTTAGTGTGTTCATGTTTTTTCTTGCTTCTTTTCTTTTACCATTGTTGTGACTTGACTGTGAGTTACCTGCCTTGTATGGCTATGTAATAAAAATAATTAAGATGCAGTGAGTGACTACCCAGCTGCAGACTGTATTCTGTGTGTATTAATTTGTATGCATACATATATGTGTATTTATACTCTATTTATTAATGTTTAATCCATATAAAAATCTTATCAGATAAAACTGTTATGAGCCTCATTTTTAACATGAAGAAATTAGAGCTCTGTTAGGCTAAATGACTTATCAAAGGCGGCACAGTTACTAACTTTTAGAATGGGGAATGAGTCCTGCTAAAGACTTGGACTCTTAAACATTATATTGTTAAATTTGTCTAACTTTTTTACAAAATATACTCATATGCCATCTGATCTCCACAGTAACTCTGTAATTATTCCTTTACAAATGATAAAATAGTGGCTTCAAGATATGAATAATATACCACAAATTGCATAGCTAGTAAGATGTAGCACTTGGATATGAACCAAAGTTACTGACTTTTAAATTTAGAACTTTTCCACCAAACCATAGCTGATATTCTAAATTCAAACATCTGGGAATAAACTTGCATCTGATTTAACTACAGATGTCTCTCTCTCTCTCTCTCTCTCTATATATATATATATATATGCATCTATATCTTATTTTTATTGTAATATATATATAATCAGCTGGGTAAATTTTAACTCCTAATTTTGTTAGTATATATTCATAAAAATGTGACAATTTGTTTTTAAAAAACAGTGAAAAATTTGTTATATCCTTAACAAGAGCTATGTTCATTTTTTTGCCTCATTGGAAAGTTGATACTTTTGACATTGACCACTGGAATTTCAATTTAAGGGTAATCCATTTTAACTAGATGGTATATCCCCTCAAAGGCAATGTTGTAGAGAATATTACTTCATGCAACTCCCTGGTTTCCACATGTCCTGCAAGTCCTTTCACTGAGGGGTGGTAGAGTATTGTAAAAATATGCATTTTTTAACACTTAATAACCTGATGGTGAATGAGGATTCTGCTACTGATTTGGAGCAAATTAATTTTACTTCATTCTGTAAGCCTCAGTGTTTTAATCTGCTAAAAAATAAGTGATTTTTATGACCTTTAGGCTTTATTGCTGTAATTTGCTTTTCACATAGTTGTTAAAGGGGTAGTTCTAAAATACTATCCAAGGGCCAGCACTGTGGTATAGTGGGCTTAGACTCTGCCTGCAGTGCTGGCATCCCATATGGGTGCAGGTTGTGGTCCCGGCTGCTCTTCTTCCTGTCTAGCTCTCTGCTATGGCCTGGGAAAGCAGTAGAGGGTGGCCCAACTGCCATGGGAGACCCAGAAAAGGCTCTTGACTCATGACTTCAGATTGGCTCAGCTCTGGCTGTTGCAGACATCTGAGGAGTGAACCAACAGATGGAAGACCTTTCTGTCTCCCTCTCTCTGTAACTCTACCTTTCAGATAAATAAATAAAATCTTTAAAAAATAAAATAAAATGCTATCCAGATCAAGTCATTAACTTCCTCAAATTCCATTTCTAAACTCTTGTTTCAAGGATAAATTTCAAATTCTTTATCTTAACCTTCAGATCAACTCTTTTTTTCTAGTTTTGTTTCTTTCATAATTTCCTCATCCTCTCTACATTTTAATAGTTATTCTATTCAAGGTCACCTAATTGTTTTTTGTTTATTTGTTTTTAAAGATTTATTTTATCTATTTGAAAGGCAGAGTTACAAAGAGAGACAGAGGGAGAGAGAGACAGATCTTCCATCCACTAGTTTATTCTTCAGTGGCTGCAATGGCTGGGACTGGACCAGGGTAAAGCTATGAGCCAGGAGTTTCTTCCAAGTTTCCTACTTGGGTGCAGGGGACCAAGCACTTGGGCCATCTTCGCTGCTCTCCCAGGTATATTAGCAGGGAGCTGGATAGGAAGGGGAGCACTTTCAGTCTGTGTGCATCTTTATGGAGTGAGTTTATACAGGCAGTATATAGTGAGGTTATGGTATTTTATCAATTCAGCTGACCCGTCTTTTGGTTCGAGAATTTTTACATTCAAGGCTAGTATTGATGGACAAGAACTAAGAATTGTCATTTTGATGATTAGATAATGATTGTACCTGCTCTGTCAGTAAATTTGGTAGTGTCGTGTTTTTTCATGTTTACTTCTAATGCAGGATGCCTTTCAGAATTTCCTGTAAGGCTGGTCTAGTGGTGCTGAAAACTCTTAGTTTTTGCTTATCTGAAACATACTTCATTTATCCTTCCCTTTTCAAGGATAGCTTCTATGGATATGATATTTTTTCTTTTGTTTTTGTTTTTGTTTTTGTTTTCTTTTAAGACCTTGAATATATCATTCCACTTTCCTCTGGCCAGTAGGGTTTCTATGAGAAATCTTATGTTAATCTTTTTGATTTTCCTTTATATGTAACTTGATGCTCTTTTTACTATTTTTAGCATTCTCTTCTTGTCTTTAATTTTTGACACTTTGACTACAGTATGCCTTGGAAAAGATCTTTTTTGGTTGAGTTTGTTTGTGGTTCTTTGAGCTTTTTGTATCTAGATGTCCATGTCTCTTTCAAGCAGGGAAAATTTCAACTATTATTTCATTTATCAGGTTCTCAACACCTTTTTTCCCTTTCCTTCTCCCTCAGGAATATGTATAATATGAATATTTGGTCAATTAATGCTATCTCATATTTTGCATAGGCTTTCTTCATTTCTTTTCATTCTTTCTCTTTATTTTGTCTGGGTTATTTCAAAATTCTTTTCCTTGAGATTAGAAATTCTTCATTCCATTTGGTCCATTCTGTTGTTAAAGCTCTCAATGGTATTTTTATTTCACAGATTAAAGATTTCATCTCCAAAATTTCTATTTCATTCTTCTTAATGAGTTCTAGCTCCTTAGTAATATTTTCATTCAGATCACTCATTGATTTTCTCACTTCTTTAATCTGTCTATCTGCACTCTCTTACATCTCATTGAGTTCCCTTATAATCATTATTTTGAAATCTTTTTTTGTCATTTCATAGATCTCCTCCAGTTCGGGATCTGATTCTGGAAGATTATTGTGTTCTTTTGGAGGTTTCATGTATTCACTGCTTGTATTTCCTCAGTTCCCAGTCAGTCTCCAACCTTCTGCACTCTGGTGTTACATTCACAATTCTTTTTTTTTTTTTTTTTTGATTTTTAATTACTTGAAAGTTTCATGTTTTTATTTAGCTTTCTGACTCTGTGCTTGTGCCTTCAACACTTTCACAACAATTTTCTGCTCCTCGATAAGGAAAGCACGCTTGATCCTGTCACGGACACATTTAGCACACATGGAACCACCATAAGCCCTGCTGACGTGCTTTTTGGTTTTAGACAATCTCATCAGGACTTTAGGTCTCACAGCACAAACCCCACGAAGTCTGCCTGGGCACACCCCACATGCAGATTTGGGTGCCTTCCCAACCTTCTTAGTATAAAGGTGAACAATTCTGTTACCAGGAGTTCGGGACAGTCTGGTTTTGTTGGAGGCTGTATTGTAGGAGAGCCTCCGGCGGTACGTCAAACGCTGGACCAATGTGGCTGCCTCTAAGCACCGTCCCGGAAGAGGAAGCTACATTCACAATTCTATTGCAATTTCTTCTTTGATAAACCCTTAAATATTTTCTTATGACTTTCAATCATTTTTATTTTTAAGTTGTATCAATATGTAATACTTATACATTTTTATAGAATACCATGAAATATTTCAACTTATATTCCCCAACCTCCACCATTTGACATTGTAAATCACTCTGCCTCTTCTCTCTTATTTTGCTTAGAAATGTTCTATCTTGGTTTATATTTTCTATCTCTATTTATTCTTTCCCATTCTCTATTTTGGTATTCTTTTCTTTTTAAGACCCTTAAGTTTTGGGGTTCCCTAGGATTTCATTTTACTCTCTGTACACTACCTACTCTGATAATTTCTGTAACTTCAGCTACCATCCACAAACCAATACCTATTGATTTGTTTCTTTAATTCATAGATATCTCAATGGGTTCAAACCAGCTTATAAGCATCTACTGGCCAGTGGAGGGGAAGGCAAAAATAAAAACATAATGGTGGGAAAGCTAATGCCACTATCCTCTTTCAGACCTTCAGCATCTCTGTGTGAGATCTCAACCTTCCCTCTTAACCATTTTCTATATAAGCACCAAAATTACATTTTAGAAAGCAAATTTGATTGTCAATATACTGCTCAAATTCTCAATGATTCTAATTTTTGTTAAGTTAAAAATTAACTCCTTAGTTTACATTCAAATGTGTTCCATTTCTGTACTCTATTCATATTGAGCTACTCTCTGTCCTTTTATTTATTTATTTATTTATTTATTTATTTATTTTGCAGGCAGAGTTAGACAGTGAGAGAGAGAAAGGTCTTCCTTCTGTTGGTTCACCCCCCAGATGGCCGCTAAGGCCGGTGTACTGTGCCGATCTGAAGCCAGGAGCCAGGTGCTTCCTCCTGGTCTTTCATGCAGGTGCAGGGCCCAAGCACTTGGGCCATCCTCCACTGCCTTCCTGGGCCACAGCAGAGAGCTGGACTGGAAGAGGAGCAACTGAGACAGAATCCGGTGCCCCAACAGGGACTAGAACCTGGGGTGCCGGCGCCGCAGGCAGAGGATTAGCCTAGTGATCTGTGGCGCTGGCCACTACTATTTGTCCTTAATTCACTGTTTATTTTATACATTGATGATAGGGGTTAGCTATCTAAGAAAACCTTCCTTTTATACACACTGTATTATCTGAAATTCTTCTTCCTTTTCCATATAACTTATCATAAAGCTGTTAATACATTGTCTGAAATATCAATCATTATTGTCATTATCATCCCAAGAGGGGAGGGATCCTAGTCTGTCAGACATATCAAAGATTTTATAGATCGCTTAATTTAGTTCACATTTTATGTGTGGTCAAATAGATCTAAGAAAAGGAAGATGTTTGTTTACTTTTGCAGATTGTCAAATGAAGCAAATCAAGACACCTAGAACATAACTGAACTGACATTTCCCACTGTTCCAAAGGCCTCTGGCAGTTTTGAGATTATTGTTCCTTCTGACTAATTGGTGGCAGCCGCTGATACTGAGGAAATATTATGTTCAATCTTAGTTCGGCTGAAATTCTTTTCTCCAGTTTATTGGATAATATTGATCAATTCACAAAATTGTTCAAATATTTGGCAATGTTATTTATAGTATCTAGCACAAACCTTGACTCAAAGAAATGCTCTTCTTGTTAGCTTATGTTTGGCCTGTGCTTTTTCAGACCCTAGACTGGGGGGATTCCAGAACCTTGTGATTTTGTTGGTCTAAATAGTAGTTGGTCTTGAAAACTCATAGCAGGGAAATAACATGGGGAAATGTTAAGAGCATATTGTCTTCAGTGTGAGCAGAAGTCGAAAATAGCATACTGCATACAAGTTTCTAGTCCTGCTTGGGAATGCAGCCAACTGAACAAAACATGGCCCTATCCTGGGGCTCTGCCAGCTTTGCTCCCCCATTTTTGGAACAAGTACATCTGAGTCCATGGTCCATAATGTGCTTCCATAAGAGGTTCAGCCATTTTATATTCAATAAGAGTTCCAGCAAGGCCTACAGAGAGGCTAGTTATTCCTGGACCAGGTTCCTGCATCTTGGTACTTAGAGACCCACATAAAAATTTTGTAAGACTGTTTACGTCATTTTGGAAGGAAAGTGCTATCATGCTTCTGTCTTTTTCCTGCCCACCCTGCCTCTTTTAGACTTAACCTTTCTCAATTTGTGCTTGAATATATCAGACTGATACAATCTTCAGTTTGGGACTCAAAATATTTCTGTCCTCTTATGCAGAGTAGTTGAAATTGTATCAAAGAAAATTGGAATTTCATTCATTCTGAGGAAGTAATTTGCATTTACTGACTTTCTGCCCTAATTTCTTATTTGATATTTCTTGTAATCCTTTGAGACAGATATCATTATCTTTTAAAAATAGAGATTAAGCTATTAACTGATGATTTTACTAATTTTAACAAGGTAACAAAAGTAGTGAGCCCCTGAGTAAGATTTTAAACGTAGTTTCATCTAATCTCTTCTTTACTATGAAATCTCTAAATAGCAATATCACCTGTTTTCACTTTATTCAGGGTCTTTGTGTTGTGTTTGTACCCATATTCAGTGAAGAAGTATAGTATGTTCTCCCAGACCCTATTCCTTATTTCTACTCCCCACTCACTCCTGCACCACTATCCCTGCTTCAAAGGTGTCTCTTTTCTACAAATTTTACTTAGGTGAATTTTATGACATTGATCAGGATTTCCCTTAAAATATAACTTTCTGAATAATGTCATACCCAAATTGTCTTTGCATATGAATTGCATAATTTTAAAAATAGGACTAGCTGTCTTTGTTTCGTACTATACAACTGTCTTAGAAAGTCAAAGTCAATACGTGGGTTACAACAAAAGTGTCAGTACCAATTTCATTAGTTTGCCAGTTTGGAGAGTAAATGAAAGAAAGAAAAAGGGAAAGAAGGGGCATGGAGGAAAGAGGGAAAGAGATAGATAGTTGTAGAGGCAGAGAGAAATGAAGTAATTTAAACTGAGAAGATGTGGTTGAGGTCCCTGTCATATGTGACAAGGAATATGTTGCTTAACTTGAAGATACAGATATAAAGAATTTTTACCAGGGTGGGAATTTGCCACAGTAGTTGTACTGCCACCTGGGATGCCCACATCCCAAATTGGAGTGTTAGAGTCCTGGTTTGCCTGATTCTGATCCAACTTACAGCTAATGTCCATCCTGTGAGGCAGCAGATCATGGCTCAAGTACTTTGGTCCGGCCACCTACATGGGAGATCCAGATTGATTTCCTGGACTTCTGGCTGTGGCCTCGCCCAGCCCTGGCCATTGTGGGCATTTGGAGAGTGAGCCAGTGGGTAAAAGATGTTTCTGTTTTATCTTTCCTTCTCTGCTTTTCAAATAATTGAAAGCAAATAAATATAAATTAAAAACAATTTTCCATATTATAAGTGCTAACCATTTATAGATTGTACTAATAACTTTATTCAGCAGTTAAAAATAACAGAATATATATTTTTCTTTCCTGCTTCTGAATATTAAAATTTATGGGTTGATTTGAGAGAGAAATAGAGGGTGAATAAGTGAGAGAAAGGGAGAGAAGAGAGAGAATGTTCCAGTCTGCTGGTTCACTCCCTGAATGTCCACCGCAGCTGGGTCCAACCTGAGAATTTGGGAATTCAATTCAGGTCTCCCATGTGGGTAGAAAGGGAACCAACTAATTGAACCATCACCTGCTACCTCCTAGGATATACATCAGCAGGGAGATGGAGTTGGGAGCAGAGTTGGGAATCTAATCCAGTCACTCTTATTTTGGATGTGAGCATTAGCTGACAGCTTAACTATAGACCAAATATAAACCCATTTCTTAATATTTTGCTCTATAAATTTATTAATGTATTTTCCAAAATGTTTTCTACTTGTATGGTTGTTCTGGAGAATCAACTGGGTCTAGGACAGAAGTTGGAGAAAGCAGTCTTATCTGAGGCTGTCATAGCCCTGAATTCAAGAATAGGCATACAATTGCAAAAACTGGAGCACGAGGTAGACAGCTAGAATCTGATAAGCCAAAATTAAGGCGAGTGTTTAAAAGAGGTAACTGAGCAGGCACTACAACCTCAGAAGTAATATTAAGTCTGAGAGCAAGATGAACCAGGTGGAGTGTAGGGCAATGTTTTGGTGTAGGTTTGACTATTTGCAATTGGGTATGTATATATATGGTTACATTCACATAAAATTTTGGGTTATTATGAACACACATTTTATGGATCTTTTCATGTTGACATGTTCCATCTGATCATCAAACTGCTCTTCCAGATATGTCTTATACATTTGAAGGCAGCATTGTCCTGTAGGGATGTAGGGGCTGAATTCACAGCGACCAAAGCTATTTGAGCATTTATATTTTGTTTTTCATGCTTTCTGGAAGCATGAAATTTGCCATGATTTCTGGTTTCAAAATAAGTGTGGCTTAAAAAAACTGATATATGACAGTCTCTCATTTGTTTTCTTTATGAATGAGTTCTACTTTACCTTGGAGAGATACTATCTCAAGAAAGCTCTGTTTTTACTACCTGTGAATATGTATTAATTGGGGTATTGCAGAGAAATAGAACCAGTATGGTGTGTAAGTAAACATATATATTATGAGGAACTGATGCATAAAAATTTGGAAGTAGAGGTCAGCAAATCAAAAATCTATGTTGTGGACCAGCAGTCTGGGACTGCAGAAAAGCCAATAATGTGGATGAAGTCCAAAAGTACACTGCTGGAAAATTCTCTCTTGCTGAGAGAGTGTGATGTTTTGGTTCTATTTAGGCCTTCAACTGATTGCATGAGGCCCACCCATATTGTGGAGAACAGTCTGAACACCCATATTCAAAGTTCAATGATTTACCAAACTGATATGGAAATATAGACACAGCATGTTCTCCCTCATATGTGGAACCTAAAAGAAAAAACTCAATTTGAACACAGAGTAGTGATTACTAGAGGCTGGGGTGGGGGGTTAGATGGAGTT